GGACTTTACCTCCAGAAATTCAGGCGCTCCGCGATGCTGGCCGCCGAATCGTCGTTAAACTCAAAAAGGGTCTCTATGGCACTAAGCAGGGCGCACGCGAATGGTATCAGAAGCTGTCATCCGTCTTCGTGTCACTCGGTTACACGATTTGTTCTGCGGACGAAGCCGTCTTCTACAAATATTCTGGGGACCACTATACCATCGTCGCATCGGCCGTGGACGACTTCACCATCATCGCTGACACCCTCGAAGGCGTCAAACTCATTAAGAAGCAGCTCAATGAGCACTTCGAGCTAGTCGATCTTGGCGAGATCAATTGTCTGCTCGGCTTCAATATCACTCGAGATCTTGAGGCGAAGACACTTTCAATGGGACAGCAATCCTATATCGATGAGATACTCGTGGAGATGGGTCTCGAGAACGCCGCAACGGTCATGACTCCGATGGAGCCGGGTGTTGACCTAAGTTACGACGCACCTGGGGTTTCTGACCAACTGCTCTCGTGCGCGCAGAACGAGCACTACCGCAAAGCGGTGGGAATGCTCCTTTATGTTGCGCGTGGGACTCGGCCTGATATAGCTTATGCTGTGTCGCACGTTGCCCAATTCGTCGAAACGCCACGCACTACCCATCTGAAGGCTGTCCAACGCATCTTCAAATACCTCAAGGGTACGCGCGACTATCGGCTTGTTCTCGGCGGCGAGCACTCCACCTTATTCGGGTATTCGGACGCGGACTGGGCTTCCCAGATGCACCGCCGTTCCATATCCGGGTTTGCATTCTTTCTGGGTAACGGCGCCATCTCCTGGAGCTCGAAGAAGCAGCCCATCGTCACGCTTTCGAGCACCGAATCGGAGTACGTCGCCCTCACCCATGCCGCCAAGGAACTCATCTGGCTTCGGAAATTATTATCTGAGCTCTCATTCCTTTCCACCGCGGCCACCACCCTCTTCTGCGACAATCAAGGTGCTATCACGCTATCCCGGGACTCTACGTTCCACGCGCGTACCAAGCACATTGATGTCCGCTTCCATTTCATCCGGGGGACGGTCCAGGTCGGCCACGCCTCTCTCATTTATTGTCCCACGGACGACATGATTGCCGACGTGTTCACCAAAGCTCTGGGGCGTCTCAAGCTTCAAAAATTCCGTGACCTTCTCGGAGTCGAAATGCCGCCTTCAGCTTGAGGGGGAGTGTGGAGGTAACAAGCTTACAGTCATTCATTACGGACTTACTTCCATTCGTAGATACCGGACATCTATTAGTTACCGCCCCATAAATTTTTCCTGTCGTTCACGTGTACATCTCAGTTGGCTCATTATACGCCTACTGAGATCGCTACTATTATTCTAGCTCCTCATTCCGTCTGCGCCTCTACAATGCGCCTCGACCATTCTATTCCATTCCTGGTTGAATTTATTTTCAACCACGATGACGCGGACTCGCACAGGGTGTGCCTCTTGCCCCGAGCTCAAACCTCGTCTGGAAAGATGCTCGCGTATAATGGATACAAAGTCTGCAAGGAATCGGGCATGGTGTACGGCACACGGCCGCTGTCCTTAGTGACATTGTAGTGTTGTATTGGTGGCGGCAGTTCGGGGTTCGACTCCCCGTGTCCGAGTGCGGAAGCATAGTGCAAACGTTTTTCCTCCCCTTTATTTTGCGTATCGTTCTGCGGCACTGGCCAGGCCATTCGACGCGGCGAACACTCTAATCTTATTTAATTTAATTCCTTTCAGAACCCAACCGGAATTGTTGAGTACCAAGTGAGTGGGATTGAAAGGAAGGTGGGAGTAAGTCATAGTTATTATCCCAAATGAATGAATCCTTGCACAGAATTAAAAGAGGCACGCAGGCGTTGACTCCCACTCGGAACCTAAGAGAAAAAGAAGCCATATAACTCCAGAATTCAGACACAGGGATTCGGGCCCTGGATTGCCTCATAGATGTTTAAATTATTATCTAGAAAACAAATCGAGGGACTACACCATGTCTGATTCCCTTCATATAAACAGTACTTTCTACAGCACCACTTTATGTTCGATGACCCTGGAACGAGATTTACATAATTGAACATGAATTCAACCACACGACTCCGAGCAGTTATCCACTCACTTTGGGCAGAGAATTTCACCCTCGGTTTTCTTTTTTCTATTCCCCGTTTCCAACGAACCGACTGGAAATTCGAGACCCGTCCGCGGTATCCTCCTCCTGTTCCAGTCACGAAATCATGCAAGGTGGCGGTGTTGTGATCGGCCAACACGGACACACCGTGACAATGCAGCCCTTCTCCACCACCCAATATTTCTCCGTTCCCCGACCGTACACGACATAGGCCATGGTCCTGAAAATCCTGGCCGTCGCCTACTCGTACTTTCCGACGGAATACACCGTCCACGCCGTCACGGCCCTCGTCGTCGTCCTCTCCGCGCGCGCAATATCCCAGGGCCGCAAGACGACGAGAGAGCGAGATCTCCATGCCCGGGTCATTCTGCTCACGGTGTGTCTTGTGCCCCCTCAAATTCTGCGATTTTGACCGGCAATAAGGGCGCATTCTCACCCACAGGGCTAACACTGCTCGAATCCCTGGCCCAACGAGGTGCGCACATAATCGCGCTGTGCGCGGAGGCCGTCGACTCGGAGAAGGTGACGACGTACATCGAGCTGCTGCGCTCGACGACGTCCAACGCGCAGATCTTCGCGGAGCAGTGCGACCTTGCGTCCCCGCCGTCCATCCAGGCCTTCTGCGCCCGCTTCCTCTCCGGGCAGGAGCAGCGCCTCGACGCCCTGCTCTTCACCCACGAGTTCCGCCACGTCGGCGCCCTCCGATTCCTCTCGCGCTCCAAGGATGCGACGAAGGAGGAGGAGGGGCGGAGGGAAGAGGCGTCGCTGGCGACGTTCCTGCTAACGACGCTGCTGCTGCCGGCGCTGCTCACCGCGCCCGTCGAGCGCGATATCCGCATCGTCAACGTCGTGAATCGGTTCTACCCCGCCGCCGCCGCCGCCCCGTCCATGTCCCTCTCCGCGCCCTTTGCCCTCGCCTCTGCCTCCACTGCCTCCCTTAAATCCACGTCCACCTTTCCCACCCCCAAATCCACCTCAACCTTCCTCCTCGAGGGCGCCCGCGCCCTCCGCACCATCCTCCTCACGCGCCACCTCCAGCGCATCCTCGACTCCCTCCCCGCCGCCCAAATCCCCAAGACGAGCGCGGACGGCCACGCGCCCGTCCCCGTCGTCAGCCCCAAGGCGCAGAAGAGCAACATCGTCGCCGTGAGCGTGTCCCCCGGCATCAGCCGCGTCGAGACCGTCGCGCCGCTGCTCAACGCCGACTGGGTGGCGCCCGGGTATTCGCTTTTGGGGATCGTGCTGTGCGTCCCTCCCTCCTCTCTTTTTGCGTGGATTTATGAAGGCTGATGCGTCGCAGGTACATCCTGGCGTATCCCCTCCTCCTGCTCCTCACCAAGTCCTCCGCCGCGACGATCCAGTCCGTGCTGCACGTCCTCTTCCTCCCCACGCCGTTCAAGGTGCTCGCCGCCCTCAACGCCGATCCCGATTCCGCTCCTAATCCCAAATTCGCTGACGCGGAGCCGGAGGAGGTGCTGAAGCCCGGCGCGCTGTACGCCGAGTGCGCGGTTGTGCGGTTGGATGTTGGGGTGTCGGAGAAGGAGAAGGAGAGGGAGGCGGCGGCGGAGGCGGAGAAGCGGGCGGAGGCGACGGCGGGGGCTGCGAAAGGGAAGGGCAAGGGCAAGCACAAGGGCGAAGAGGAGAAGAGGGAGGAGGTGCTGGAGGTGCCGGACGACGGGGAGCTGGGCGGGGAGCTCGCGGGGCGGCTGGTGTGGGAGGCGTATGAGGCGGGGCTGAAGGCGTGGGAGGCGGCGCATCCGCCGGCGCCAGCGGCGGCGGCGGGTGGGGCTGCAACGGGCCCGGCGGGGCCGGCGCCTTCGAATGTACCTTCGACGGCGGCGACCTAGTTTACTTTCGTTTGCGGGTTTGTAATCTAAACTCATTCATTCTAAACGCAAGTGCCGTTTCGACTCGACTCGGCACATCCATTCGCAGGAGCGTACATATATAGTGGAACAAGGCCCGGTGGCATTCGGTATGCATCTGCGTGTGTTGATACAGGCGCGATTATTTATCAGCAGAGGACTCCCGTTCAACTCGGGGCTGGGCCATGATGTAGGATTCCCTTTTCTTGGGGTCCACTGTCTGCGGTGTCTGCAGTCTTTGTACTCTCCGCGTGAGAAGATAAATATTTATAAAAATCCTAATTCGAGAGCTGGTCGGCTGCTTATTCGTATTCTTCTCTATTATTCCTCTCCTCCTCACATCCATTCGGAAGGCAGGGAGGAGCGTATGTAATGGAACAAGGCCCGGTAGCATTCGGTATGCATCTGCATTTGTTAATGATATTGACGATTATCAGCAGAGGACTGCCGTTCGACTCGGGGCTGGGCCATATGCGAACAGGTAGGTTTTTTTTTCGGGTGCTGTCTACCGTGTCTGCAGTCTTTGTACGCTCATCCTCACCGAGAAAAAAATCAACCTACAGCCGATAGTAATAGATAGGCTGAAAGCTACTCCTCCTACTCTTGGTTGAAATCATACTGTGTTGGTCCCATGTTGCTCCTCTATTTCGGCGCGTCACATCCATCCAAGGAGCGGAAATAGTAGAATAAGGCCCGGTGGCATTCGGCATGCATCTGCGTCCTTTGGACGGTGAAGGAAATTGTCGGCAGAGGACTCCCGTTCGACTCGGGGCTGGGTCATATGCGAACAGGTAAGTTTTTTTGGGTGCTGTCTGGGTTTGTCCTCCGGTGTCCGAATCCGCCAAGTTCAGGCATTTGTACTCTCAGTCTCGCCGCTTTAGATGACAACGGGAGATGGAAAAGAAAACAAAGGGTGATCAGGTGTGGAGGTGTGGTTGAATTCATGTTGAATTAGGCTCGTTCAACATAAAGTGGTGCCACTGATAGCAAATACTGTGCATATGTAAGGAATCAGACGTAGTGTAGTGGGAACATGGCCTTAATTTGTGATAGTGTTCCCGTTTGGTTATGAGGCAGTCCGGGGTTCGACTCCCTGTGTCTGAATCGCACGGTAGTATTTATGCTTTTTCTCTTAGAAATGCCTCTGTTTATTCTGTGGAAGTATTCGTTCAATTGGGATAACTATTACTGACTCCTACTCGTTATCCCTTCCTTTCTCTGAATCTCCAATCACTTGCTACGCAACAATCTCTGATTGGACCGTGGTTTCGAAGGGATCTACCAAGAGCTGATGCAGGAGACGGAGATTCACCGTGTGCAATGGCCCGAGTTGAACCTGGTTGAACATTGAAGTCAGAAGATGAAAAAAAAAACGACGAGTTTGTGGATCATTTGGACACAGGGAGTCGAACCCCGAACTGCCGCCCAGGCGTTCCCTACAATGAAGGCGACCGTGTACCGTACAGCATGCGCGATTTCTGGTATGCGTAGTATTCTCTATACGTGAGCATCTTTCTTCGTCTGGACGAGGTTTGAGATCAGGGTTAGATACACACACCTTGTCGAGAGTCCTTGTCATCGTGGTTGAAAGAAAATTCAACCAGGAATGGAATAGAATGGCTGGAGCGCATTCCATGATTTTGTTCATTGTGAAGAAATGGAGAGAACATAGTGGAGGAAAAAAAACAGGTGTCCCACATATTTGTACACGGGGAATCGAGCCCCGAACTGCCGCTAGGAACTTCCTCTGTCGAAACATGGAAGGCGACTGTGTGCCATACACCATGCCCGATTTCTGGTAGGCTTGGTACCTTGAATACGTGAACATCTTTCGTTTAAGTCCAGGGCGAAGAACACATAAGGTACACACCTTGCCTAGAGCTGTCGCGAGTCTGCGTCGTTATGGTTGAAAGGAAAATTTTCCAGAAATGGAATAGAATGTAATTCCAGATTCCATGAGTTTGTTCATTTTGAAAGAACAGAGAGACTCGGTGAGTACAGCGGAGGAAAAAAAATCAGGTCTCCTCAGGAGTATTAGGGCACAAGGAGTCGAACCCCGAACTGCCGTCAGCAATGTCTTCAACACTGTTGCAAGGACAGCGGCCGTGTGCTGTACACCACGCCCGATTTCTTGCAGATTTGGTACCCATTATACGTGAGCATCTTCACAGACGAGGTTTGAGATCAGGAGATAAGAGGCACACCTTGTCGCGAGTCCGCGAGTCCACGTCGCGTGGTTGTGGTTGAAAAAAAAATCAGCCAGGAATGGAATGGAATGGTCGAAGGGTAAAGGGCATTCTATGACCGTGTCGTGTTCATTGTACAGAAAGGAGGGAACCTAGTGGAGGGGGAAAAGAATGCCCACTGCTTCAGGGCCAATCGGACACGGGAGTCGAACCCCGAAACCCCCGATGCGAGCAGGAATTCATACCATACACCGTGCCCGATTTCTTGCAGACGTGGTACCTACAACAAGTTCGAGTCTTCGTTGAGGAGGAGGAGCGCTGTTTCGCCGACTGGAGGAGGTGGAGGACTGCGATGCCGCGGTCATGTCTCGACAATCGGGTGTGGAGGCTTGTGGTTACGAGTCCTAAAAATTTATTTTTGGACTCGTTCTATTCGTTCTTCCCCGCCAAATTGCTTATTAATTGCTCGATGACGTCTTCGACATGTGTTGGAAGTATTTCTTTATATGGTCTTCCCTTTTGCCTTTTACGGGTTATTCGTAATATTCACTGTCAAAATCTTATGTCAATTCGTGTTACTCTGCATTTATGCTGACTCCACTCTTTTCCTTTTTGGTTCTCATCGTAATGCTTTTTGTGTGTTGTAAATGTCATGCACTTCACGTTTTGTTTGTCTCTGATTTATGGCGGTCATATTGCACTTTTAATAATCCTGCATAAATACACTGGTTATTTTCGTGATTGGAGTAACTTTAAATATATTTTCTTTTTTTGAACGTTGTCCTGGATTTCCTCTTGACCCTCCGTAACTTTTTTCCGCACTTACATTTCTTCGGCACGGCTGGGAAGCCATGTGCCTCCATGCCCGTTTGGGAAGGCCAGTCATTTTCAACCCCCCTGAATGAGGACAGAGCCTCAGGTGCCTCCACAGTTATCAAGTTCTTCAATGGCTAGAACCCTGACCTTCCCCTAAGCTTGTACTTCTATGGGCTTGAGTACATGGACCCAGACAGGTACTTACTTAGTGGTGCAACTTCACTCCAGTGCCCTCACCAGAGGGGCTACATGGTATTGGTGTCCTTACAATAAAGGTTTGTGGGAAATATAATTGATATGTGATTCAGAGCCCACTGACTGACACGAGAGCTCTGGGGCATGTTCCGAGGAGGAAAGGCATATTTGTTTGGTCTTGATTTGTGATCTCAAGTGACGCGCCTGGTCATGTGATCCCTGAACAGCTCCCCAAACATTTTTTGAGCCTGTATACTTCTTTTCCCAGACTGAAACGTCATAAATATCCAGGACTATGTTTTCACCAGAGCACACAAAAATATCTCGGGTTGGTCCCAACCATGGAAAATAACCAGGAAAAATACAGGTATTTATGCAGGATTATTCAAAGTGCAATGTGACCGCCATACTGATTAAATGTTATCTTTCTCTGTTATTCTGTCTCGTGCCTGTGTCTTGCCTTGTTGATAATTCTGAGTGATCACCTTTTTACTATGAGTGAATCTCTCTTTCCTTGTCTGAAATTTCCGCATAAGTGACCTTGACCTTTCATACCAACTCTCTAACATTGTTGCTATATTGTCTTCCTACCTAATACTTTTGTTACTAGCTCTTCCTATCTCGTTCGTTCACGGATGTGTCTGAAAATATGCAGGTGTGTCCTTCTCTAGGCTGAATGATGGTATCTTTGTGATTGATACAAATGATCCTCGAACTCGGACTGATGTTCTTTCCTGTGATCATCTTGGTGTCCACGTCCCAAAGGCATGGGAATTTGTGTATTTTTCCCGTGGTCGTGTTTATCCACTTATCTTTGGGGAGCTCAAAAATGAACATCAATCTGTGAATGAGATAGGCATTTGTGTGAGGGAAGACCTCTTCTGTATTATTTGAGAGACTCCAGGAGAGTCTTATTCGAGGGGAGTTGCCTGGGGGTACTTCATCCCAAGCTGTCCGTCGCCGATTGGAACCTCAACTGTTCGCACATCTCCATGCTGGATGTCGGCATCACCTTTTCTAATGATGAGTCTGTGATTTCCGACGTGTTCACTTGTCCATGATAATCTCTCCTTCAACTCTCCTTCTTCCATGGTGTACTGGTGGCGAGGCTCACAATCAAGTGGTGGAGTACAGGCAGGCAAGCGGTGGGGAAACAACAACGAAGACATGAAAATACGGAAGCAAAAACAGTATACGTACTTACAGCTAATTGCAGTACCGAAGGCACGAACCAGAAATTCCCATTTTGGCATATGTTCAATGAATTCCCGACATCTCACTCAATTCTTCACTGATTCACATAAAAACTGGATAGATCTACTCGTGTAATTAGTTGCGAAAATATTATGTATTAGGTATTTTCTGGTTTTGGGCTGTTTTCGCACTGAAAGCCGTCTAGCATGCCAAGAACATGTCCCAGCAGCCTAATATTTTAGGATAGACAACCTTTATAGCTGAAGGGACATGTCATAGGGCCAGAAATACGCGAAATTCCTAGATAAACATAATCTTTACAATATCTCTCAATGACAAAACCGGCAAATGTATCCGAGGGAGCTAGAAGGACTGTAAATAATTTATCGGTGTTTCTGGCTCTATCACATGCTTCCTCAACTATAAGTGTTGTCCCCCCTAAAATATTAGTCCGCTGGAACATGTTTTCGGCATGCTAGATGGCTTTCAGTTCGAAAACAGCTAGAAAATACATCATGCATAATATTTTCACAAATTATTCTCCATCATTAATTGCGCATGGATTAGCTGAGTACATCTATCCAGTTTTTATGTGAATTGGTGAAGAACTGACTGAAATATCAGGAATCCTTTGAAAATATGCCAAAACAGGAATTTTGGTTTGCGCCTTCAGTACTGCAATTAGCTGTAATCAGCCTGGAAGTAATTGAGAGTCAACATCAAAAATTTTCTGCAGCACAAAAAACTTCATGGTGTCTCGTAGTTTTCAGGAACAGCTACAATGAATTTGAATGATATTGCAATATCGAATATCTAAACTTCAAGCAGGGTTATTTAAAATCTGTTGGACTTTCGGCCGTCGGACTGCCGTGCGGCGGGTTGTTGTTCTCGGGAAAAGGCAAAGTTCGGATCATTCCGCCGGTCCTTGATTTGGCAACCACTTTCGGCCGTTTCCGGTTCGATTTCTTTCTGTGACTTGTTGGTGGTTGATGACTGTACAGAATTTACCTGAGGAATTGATCCCAGGATCTGATGTCCTCCCTCTCAGGGAAGTGGTCTTGGCCCCTTACACTGCAAGGCATAGAGAAGAATTTATGGGTGACATCCGGGCAAGACATAAAGCTCTGCCCCCTACACTTCACTCTCAGTCTGGCAGGTCATTCCAAGCTGTTTCTCACATGTTGAGACTAGTACACAGGCTTCGGAGCATCACACATCCAAATATAACTTCTCAGGGGTGAGGAGCCGGAAATTAATACCCTGTACAGTGAACTAGTCTCACATAAATGGACATACATATTGTATGGGCCTATGGTGGCTCTATCAGGTTGCGAAGTTTCGCGTAATAGGAAGAATTGAGTGGGTTCAATGGTAGCGGGAGATATTCAAAGCTGATCAGAGAAGCAGAGAAATACACCCCATATGCTGGGTCACTCACAAATGGAAAGGACTGGATCATTTGGAGGTAGTGAGGAGCATTGAGGATGCCTACCGATGGTGAGCGAGCTTTCCGAAGGCACATAGACTGTTGACATGGGAAGTCGGCTGTAGAAACAATGAATACTAGTTAATCAGATGAACATACCTCCTTTCGCAGTCCTTTCAATCTCACTTCACTAAAATTATCCCTCCAACTGATGGTCAAATCTAATGAAATGTAAGGGTACCAAATCTGGTCAAGGGTTCAATTTGCGTGTTCAATCAACAAGTGCT